TATCCTCAACCAAATCGAGTGATGTCGAACATGTAGGTGCTAAACTTGCTTTTGTCAACACCTAAAGATTTTCCATAGGTAATCTCCGAAGCAAAAATACGGCCAGGCGATATGCACATACTCGGTTGTTGATCGATTTCTCAGGAGTACCAGAATCTTTGCTCTCTTTACTGCTTTCCTTGTATGATTCAGCAGCACCAGTTATAAGGCAAAATGATTGATCCATAAATGTTTGATAAAGTATTTGGCCTCTCAACTTCACAACCGTGCCTAAAAAAGTTCTACATACGTATGAATAGAATATCGCAACGACTTTTTACTCTATTTGAGACAGAAGCACGAAAATCTTGCACCGTATGGGAAATAACTTAGCTAAGAGCGGGAAAAATTGACTACGGCTGCGATTAACGTGAGACTGTTCGCAACATAGCTACTATTAATCTGCTATATATGTTGTTTCACTAAGTCCTACAACATCACATGCTTTCGAGCAACATGATATTTAGCGTTTACTACAAAAAGGAAGAGACTGTAGGCAAAAGAAGTGCAATTAAAAATCCATAAAGAATTTTTTTCTTGACTGCTCCATAACATAAAAATGATCATGCCGATAAAAAAAATCCGCATGAGCTCTATAACTGCGAAAAACGAAAAAAAGCGCATCAGCAGCTGCACACTTAACATAACCCAAGTGCAAAGAAATCTCTAACTTATGAAACATAATTCATCCATGCTTTCGACTCTCTAAATTCCCTCTTTTTTTCATAGATCCTTCAGCATACATATACTTCAAGATTCCAAATCACGATTGCGGAACCTGGTCATATCAGTTAGCGTTTCCAATGCTAGTAAAATTGTGATTCTGAATAATCTTCTCAAACTTACTCTGATAAAAGCGTGCGGCGGTACCTTTTCCATATTTTTTCTGAATTTAAGTAAAAGTCCTTTTCAAGTAGCTAAATTGCTACTCTCTGATCGCTGAAGCTATCAAGGCTATGAGGTTGATAAAGCGGTTATTTTAATCGAAAGTTGGGTTCATTTTTTTCGATTCGCTATAAAATTACCTACTTTTT